GCAAGGTTGGCCTCGGAACCACTCGGTGACAGCACCAGGCCCCAGGGCTGGGACAGAGCCTGTGCTCTGCCTGGGGTCCTCCTGGGAGGGGACTCCGTGAGGGTCCCCTGCGTTCCCTTGGGCTTGGCGGGCAGCGCGGCCGGACTTAGGCCAGGGACGAGGCAGGAAGCAGCTGGAGAGAGGGCCTTCTCCCCCCACAGACAGAAGGGGCGTGGGAGCCGCCTAGTGAGGGTGTCTCATGACTCCTCTGTGTCCCAGATGGAAGGAGACGGGAAGCCCTGTCCCGCGGTGACGATGGCCGGCTGCTGGGGTCCCTGGGCGTGTCTCCTGAAGGAGCGGGACCGGAACGGCCCCGGGCGTCATGAGCGGCCCGGCAGCTGCACGGATGCTAAGTGACAGGCACCAGGGCGAGGTCGTGACCTTGCAGCCAGAGGTTGTCCCGGGCTGATAGCAAAGGGGAGGACGAAGTGCAGGACGCGAGCGTCACCCTCCGACCCCGGCAGACGCCACTGAGCACCCGCCCCGACTCAGCTCTGGACGGCAGGCACGCGGTCGTCTGCAGGCGGCACCCGTCCCGCAGGGCGCCCGGTGTCCCCACCGCCGCCCGCAACCTCAGACCAGGCGTGTCTGGCAACGCCTCCTCCCTGACGGAGGACCTGGCCGGACACGGCCCCCGACAGACCCTCGACCCTGCGACCCTGTGCCGCGGCGGCCATGCAGGAGCAGTGCGTTCTGCCGTCGGCTCGCCTGGCCGCGTGGCTTAGTGTCCCCTGACGCCGGGTCGGGCCGTCTGCCCCCGGGTGCGGTTCTTCCTCAGCCCGGCCGGGCACGCAGCGGACCCCGAGCGTCCACTGCACGGGAAGGAGTGAGCAGAATCACTTTCGAGAGAAAGCGCACGGCTCCCGCTCCGTGGGGGACGGGCCGTGTCTGCCTTCATCACCGCCGGGCCCCCCACGCCGCGCGGCTCGTCAGGCGGGTTGCTGTGGGGACAGCCGCTGGCCACGACACGGACGACGCCTGAGCTGGTGGTGAGTGCGGGACTCCAGACACAGGGTCCCACGGGGAGCGACTGTGTTGATGTGACGCAGCTACCAGAGGCGAACCCACCGGAGGCAGCGCCGTGGCCGCCGGGGCCGGGCCGGGCGCCGAGGGCCGGAATGGGGGGATTTCCCACAATGTCGGAACAGCCGGGAGATGGGAGACAAGATGAAACTGGGAATGGTGACTCAAACAATCCGCCTTCACCGGAGGCAGGAGGGGACCAGACCGTCACCCATCACTCGTGACGCGGGGAGAGAGGACAGGACCGGCCTCGCCTAACGGCTTCTTCAAGGTGGGATTAGTGTTGGAAGACATTTAAATTCGTACGACACAAAACGGCTTCCTTCCTTTCATTCCTTCAAAGCCTCTGCTTATGAGCATTAAGGAATTGATTATCTTAAGCCAACAAAGACAGAAAACTTAATGTAAAGGAGACCCATTCCATTGAGTCACAGCTTCCCCCGACGGTCTCAGCTGCTTTGCCGTCACATCTTTGCCGCTGCTCCAACCACCCCGTATTCCTTACACATTATGTAAACACTCTCACTACGAGAGACCTGCTATTCAGTCGGTTCTGTGTCACAGGGGTCTTCACAGACAGACTCTCCAGGGGCGTGCTAGAGGGGCTGTGGCGGACGACAGGGTCTGCACTCGGCCATCTCGGCCCCTCCTAGTGGGCACCCCTGAGCCTAAAGCCACCCAGACGCTGGGGGACAGTGTGGACCAGACGCCCTTGCCCTTGAGCACACCCAGGGGAGGCCCCCGCCCACCACGCAGCTGACCCTCTGGGAGTGGTTTTCTGCTCCAGCCCCATCTCCATCTGCCACTCCAACCGGCCCGCGGGCCCCACTGTCGTCTCTGGACTGAGGGTCCCAGGACCTGACTCTCTCCCAGCGCCGGTCAGCTCCGGACCCCTGTGTGGACCTCGGCCTCAGCCCCCAACACCCCCAGAGTCCGGGTTGCGTGTATCTGACTGGTGAGGCTCACAGTATGAGAGACAGGTGTGTCGCAGGGCAAGAGTCACGGTGGGTGGCAAACACGGCTGCTTGCAGACCAGGGACGAGAACGGTTTCCGTCCTTCACCAGGTCCCCTCGATTGTCACATTCTTGTCCCCAGTCCTGCTGCCTGTGCCCGCGCCCGCGCTTCTCAGAGCGAGTGGCTTCTCTGCCACCCCAGCGCCAGCACCCAGCACCACGGCAAAGCCTCGTTGACCACTCACAGGTTTTTGTCACCTATAATTGGCTGTTCCCTCCCCTCTTCCACCCCCTGACCAGGGAAATCCATGGTTAAAACAATCGGTGGTCTGTCATCAGAAAGCGAGAATTGTCCTGGCTGGACTGATGCCACGGGCGGCAGGTGCCAGCAGGACAGGAAGGGGCCACCCGGACCGTGCCAGGGCCTGGCCCCCAGAAGTCTCCACTTTCCCCCCTAGGTTCCTGTCTCGTTGGCAAACCGTGGAGGGTAAAGATACCCACAGAGAGACGAACGCTGACGATGCACATGGGTTTCTCAGAGACAGAACCTACGTTCACATTACGAAGAAGAGACAGAATCCAGACGGCACCATGTACGTCACGGCTTTCCCAGCGCACAGTGCCCGCGACATTTAAAACAACAGCGCAAGGGATTTCAGTGCCCCGATTCCGATCTATTTCAAAGCTACAGAAAGTCATAACCGTCGAGATTAAAAATACTACTATTTGCCGTAGTGATTTGTCTGTTCTAACAAAATAAAACGTGACAAACGCACCGCAAGCCCGAGCTGACGAGGCAGTGAGCGCGTTCCTCCCGCCTGTGTCTGCGCTTACTGCACACGGCCGCGAAAAACGTCCCCTTTCCTCCCGCTCCCGCTCAGCCCGAGCCCGGGGGCCTCGGGGCGCCCCGCTGAGCCCCTCCAAATGGCAGGGACGTCCGGTTTTTCCGGTTACGTACATGAAGAACCCAGGGATGGCAGGAGTGAGCGCCCACGGATTTTAGAACCCAGTGCCGGTCAGGCGTGTCACCAACCTTCTCACGTTTGGTCACCAAGAGGTGAGTGGCACCCGCCCGGGCCACCTCGCGGGCATCTGAAACTTGCCTGCGGCCCCCCGAGCAGGGGACACTCGGGTCTCGTCCCGAGCCAAGTCGTTGCACAGGCCGCGCCGTGGGTCCCGGTGGTTCCGTTAGGTGGCGGTGACCTCATGGTGGAGTGTGCGTCACCATCGTGCCTCACACAAGGTGCGCGACTGAATCTGGTGACAAAGAAACGTCGAGCCTTTCAATAAATGTAGATTCTTAAGATGGCCTCCAGGAAAATAAGATAAATTCCTTACACGTAATTTGCTGGAAAGTATGACTGGACCAAACGAAATATGTATAATGACTTATTTATTTAATAGAGTTCTGATAATGTTGGGTAGGCATTTAATTTTAACAGAAAACCACGAATTAGTATTATTTGGTGTCTTCTGAGATTCTGAGTCTGGGGCAGGAGACCGGTCATTACATTTATTTTCGCTGTGGCAGGGCCGTTTGCAACTCATTTCTGTGCTGTCCCCTTGATGAGACCGAATAACGACGGGCTGTTTGGGTCGTAATATTTCAATGGGGGTCCTGGGTACGTGGGGGATGCTGGATTGTCCCCCCGAAAACATAACGAGGAGCCGCGTCGCGAACTTTCTCTGTTTTTCCGCAGGCGGCTGCACCGCAACGGCAGTGTGACTAACGAAACGTGGCATCGACTTTCTCACGTCGGAGCATGGAGGGGAAGCCGCGAAGTGTTGCTGTCGACTGGGCCGAGCCATGCAGCACGTTATCCGAACAAGCTGAGTGGCACCGCGATTGGCAGAAGCCCTGGGGCTGTCACGGGCCCAGGCTTTTGTGCCGAACCCATTTTTCATAAGACTAAATGCACAGCTTTGCAGACAGAAAACAAACAAAAAACGGTCTAATGGCCTCGTTATGGGCAGCTCCGAGCGTAAACCAAGCAGTGAGCGAGGAGGCAGAGTGGGAGCCTCGCTCCAGCCCCACAGGGCAGCCTGCGTGTCGACGTTGTCATTCCCGTTTTCCCGATGAAAAAGCTGAGGATCAGAACGTGTGAATGGTTTTGGTAGGCGGTGATTTGTTGGCGGCACGGTGGCAGACTCGTGTGGCACGGTGGCTTGTGCAGCTGGTTACAGGAGAGGCAGAGCCTGGAAGTGGGGTCGACCCTAACAAGCCCCAAACGCACTATTCAGAGTCGTATGTCATGCGACCACATTACACGCAATGTCATCATACACTGTCCAGTCACGGGAGCGTGAAGCCTGGTGAGTTGCTCTGAAGTCTCGCCAGCTTCTGAAAGCAGGACGTGAGCGCAGTGCAGGACGCATCACAGCTCCCAGTCCCCAGGCCCCGCAGTGCAGGACGCATCGCAGCTCCCAGTCCCCAGGCCCCGCAGGGCCCGCTCCGTGTTCGGTCAGTGGCTTCCTCGCTTCACTGAAATGAAAGGGAGCAGTGTGAAGTGACACCACGTTTCGTCACTTGTGCTTGCTGTCTACATCTTGTCCTCTGCTCAGCCTGAAGGCTGATGGGAGGGAGGTCTTTCCACACCCCGTCCAATGCATTAACACTGAGGGGCTGGGGATAGTAAGTACTTCAAATAATGATCTAATATTTACTTCTTTGCGTCTATGCCACGTTGGGTTTGGCTAATTCTCTGCAAAGTTACTTCAAAATAAGTATATGAAAATAATACGTAAGATCTATTAAAATACATAACTTTTGGCAGTAAATAAAAGGTTGAAAATTTAAATCTTATATCTTTATCAAATATCATACATATTGGGATTTAGTCTTTTATCACAGGAGAGAATTTTATGCATATTAGGAATATTTTTAAAGGTTCAGTAGCATTTTGAATTTTTGAAATGTAAAATTTAGTATTCCAAACCACAGTTTTATTTTTTTCATCGAATCAGCTAAACAGAGAACATATTGCTATTGCTAGTTTGTCCAACTGAGTGTTTAGACTCGGTAATTGAATTCTTCTCAATAAGTGTAGCTGTGCCTGTACTATATTTATAGTGATCGAGACATTTAAATAATACAGGCTTTGTTTGCGGATATCCTGCAGTATGTCAGCGACTTTTATTTTTAGCATGATTCCTCCGGAAGTCTTAGTTTTAGTCGTCTTAGTATATTGTTTTAAGTCTACTTGGGACCCGGTAATTATGAGCACGCTTTAATCACCTCTTTGGGGGTGTGTTCCATTCTTCAGATGAACGAAGAAGCCTTAACGATTCAACGTCACATCCCTGAGCGTCCGGGTTTGTAAAAGCCGAAGGAGACTCGTCGCCTCGGCTGTGGCGGAGCTGTCCCTGCAGAACGCAGGTCCTGTGCCCCAGGCGACTCGGCTGCGAACCGGCATTTTAAGGGCGCGTGCCAGGCAGAGGACGAGTGGCCACGGGGCTGCAGCCACGGTCAGACAGTGCACGGCGTGGCGCCCGGAGTCCTTGCTGGCTCCGCGCGGAACTCACGCGGTCTGTTAATTTTTAAAAGCTTCGGTTAGGCAGACGCGGGGCATGCGGCGGACGGGCGAGCGCCGCCAGCCAGGTTTCGTGCCCCTTCTCTGCCACCGGGGCCAGCGCTGGCACTGACGTCCACGCGGAGTTCCAACGGCCATCGCCCCTTCCTCCCGAGGGGCTGACGTGGGGTGCGCCTCATCACAGGCACCCCTGCAGCTGCTGGGCTGACGGCAGGAGC